ATTTCACTCACCAAAGACTACTTCATCCCAATGTTCCCTAGTGAGAGATTTGGATCGTCTACCACTTCGTCTTTTAAAGAATCCAGCTCTACCTTCTGTCTGTGGTAGTTTTGGCATGTTACTGTGACCTGTGTTCTGTGCTAACGCCAACTGTTCAGCTCTGTATAAAAACAAGAAAGTCAGCGTCCATTTCAGAAAGCTATTGATGTTCATAAAAAGTGAGCCAATAGCAAGTATCCATTTGATTCTTTGTTATATGTTTGTACATGCATTAATTCAAAAGCGAGAATATTTTCTACTTTTTGCTGAAAAATGATTTTTGGCCAAATTACATTTACAGATTTGTTTCCCCATGAAGTTATTAATACACATACTTGCATGTATTAATGTATATTAAATTTATCTTGTATAGAGCTGTATATAATAAATAAATTTTCTTCAAAATCACACAATCTGGGATAACACCATTTATATTGAATGGCTGGGCCAAAATACATCATGCATGAGCGCCCTCTAGTGTCAGCTATAAATAACTTCCCAAGCATCAGTCACAAGATGGGGAATAGGGTTTCATTGCTATACTGCTATATGTAATTAAATCCCATCCAAAATAGCAGTACAGAGTTGACAACTAGTGAAATACAAACCTGTTCTTGTTTGGAATAACACCTTTCTCTACTTCCATATTGTTTCTGTTGAGTTTTACCGCTTGCCATGACCCGACCACACCATTATATAACGTGTCTCGTACTCTCATTATGTCACCCTTCTTAAAACTTAATTCTTCTTTGGTTGTTTTATCGTAGTTGAAATGAGCTCTGATGTGGATGTTGTCGCCTCCACCGTGTTCTACGACCTTGTCAAATGCTGCGGAAATAAAGAGTGGATTCAGGTATCGGCACAAAAAACACTGATCTTTTTTAAAGAGAAGTAAGTTTCGAATTTTGGACTATTTTTTTAAATAACTTTTTGTGAAAAAATTAGAGCAACATGCACATGTTATATCTCAGTACACGTACACTGTATACAAATGTATGGATGAATAAATAGAACAGCAGAAGTTGTGAGTTATAGATTTAACATCAAAGGTTGTGATATAAGAATGCATTAGATATCGACTGTAAAATCTGTATCAGAAGTTGTGACTTCTATTAAAACGGTAAAATGCAACAGAGGGGCTGTGGCTTCTATTTGGACATCTATTCATATGTAAAATGGCGAATACATGTATACAGGGAAATGGTATATTCGTTGGATTGTATTTTCACTGAATCATCCCTCTCTGAAAATAGCGAAAATAAATTCCAAGTGGAAAAAAAAATACACGTTTTTAACAGCACAGATTTTACGGTAACAACAATATGCAATTCCAAATAAAAGCTTAGAGTGACTGTGCCAAAGTTTGACATTACCTCCTTTCCTGTACTGTACAATCATTCTTATTTCATCTTGTAGACTTAATAATAACAAAACAGCTTCTTCCCTTGTGACATTATGCATGTCTATATCATTTACCTGTAATTAACAATCAAGTATGGTTTTATAAATGCTCACTGCCTTTCTTGTCTCAAATAGGTTAGAGAAATTTTTCATTTTAAATATTTCCTCCCATCGTTGGCAAGCTACATCAACATACTATTATCTCATTTGAATACCCAGCGTCTTTTTTTTTCAACTTGAAAATCACATTCTTAAAAAGGAATAGTAAATTTTCTTTATTTTAATCTTTTATAAATAAACTTCTATGTTATAATGCGACATGTATATTTTTTAACCATCATTCAATTCTGAATGAGTGATGTGTCATATCCTTACCTGCATAATCAAATCACCAATAAATAATCCCTCAATAGCTGCCGGACTACTTTCCTGTACATCGGCAATAAATATTCCTACTTCGTTACCGCCGGCAAGACGAATACCAAGATTGCTAGTTTTCCGGAAGACTACATATCTTTCTTCACCTCTGAACAAAATAATAATTATAAAGTGAGAGAGAAACAAATTAAAGTACACATGTAGTACCTATATATGTAGTATCAAAGCAATTGGACTTGCGGTTTTTAACAAGATTCAAAAATATCAATTTTTACCAAAAATGACAAAAATATTCACCAAAATTAGAAAATTGAAGATATCATCATGAAATGAACAAACCTAAGAGAGGTCTACCCAAGGTACATATACACCAAGTATCAAAGCATTCAGGCTTATAGTTTTCAAGAAGAAGTCGAAAAAGTAAAACATTGACACTGACGACGACGAACAATCACTCATATGATAAGCTCCGCTCGACGACAGCGGAGCTAAAAATAAACAAATACACCTTGAACAGATGTATATTTTGTTTGGACTTAACACTTAGGTTTTATAGCAATCAAGGTTCACAGTTACTGTATAGTGCAAACCCATTAACATGACTTGACTGTATACTTGTTTACATTCTTCAAATCAATGTCTAAGTTTATGGCCATCTGTTACCTTTTCTAAGTCATGTAAATGATCACTTTGATGAGTTGCACATTGGTTGACAGCTCAATGAGACATCTATTCTGACAGTATATCAGTGTTTCTCATTAAAGTACTGTTCTATTACATGCCTCCAGCAAACAGACAAGTATACACAGCATTGCTACACAGACAAAGCTTGTGCAAGACGGCAATGTTCTCTCAAAAGTTTCAACAGATTTCATTAGCTGGTGATGTTAGTGATTATTTTAGAGACTAAGATTCATGTATATCATTGACGTATGTAATAGAAATATTACAAATACGGGTGATTTTAGTCTTTAGCATTGAATGTTTTATCAGCTGGTGTGAGAGAATACTTTAATACGGAGGTCAAAGGTGACATTCAAAGCATCATTGTCAATGCACCAAATGTAACTCATGTGACGTATTCTCATATTTTGTTCTCTTATTTTTCTTTTTATTTCATTTTAACTTTCAACATTTAACTTTATTGTATTACGAACAATATCTCAATTAAGGATATGTTTATCAAAAAAGATTATTGTTATTATTCAGTGTATGAATACAGTGTTTGTTTACAAACAATTTAAGGTTTCTAAATTTGTCATGGTAACTGTGAATGTTAGGTACATACAAGTTCACACATATTGACCTTTGACCCCACTGTATACTTACTCTTTAAGTCGTCGTTTATGTCTTGGAGGTACGTGCATCTCACTGGGATAGTATCTGTAGTCTTCTCGTCCAGGTGTCGGTGGTCTGGGCGACCTGCCTTCTGTAATGACAATAAAACCGACCTGTAAATTACAGTCTGTGCATTCACATGTTGTGAGTAAGATTTTCATATTTGCAGACGAACATGCATTGGTATATATAATCACTTTGCACAGACACATGATACAATCTTATAACAAGACATATAGACTTACGAAGGTCTTCAAGTGCAGGTGGTGGTGGTCTAGGTGGGGCGCTATCATCTTCTGACATGTGACTTCGTTTTCTACCTGGGACTCTTTCAGGTGACCTTGACCTATTAAGGTCTTGATCAAAAGGTACACTGTAAAACAAAATAAACTACTGAATTAAACAATACTTTTAATTGCCAAACTAATCAACAATTAGTAAAATAATTAGAATAAGTGGTTACTGTAGCAACTAGTGTTACTGTTACCATAGTAACATTATATATCATAAATATTCTTCAGTAACAGCTGATACTCAGTCTAATAAAAATATAAATGTCACCCCTCATGAAGTGTGTTGTCCCCCCAACAGACAATGGTACAGTCCAAATTTGCATACGAGATCATCTTGACCCAACAGGCCACGAGAGTCAAATCTGTGTTTTGTCTGTATCGTCTGCGTTATCATCCCTGACAATTCTGTTTGTTACAGCACTATTTCATTGCTTGCAATATTGGGATGGTTAAATATTGCCATAATAAACCACACATATAAACCACACAATTCTGAAACAGCTCCAAAAATTAAACCAATCAGCAACTATATATGAATTTGTAGTTATACTTTGAAAATGATTGGTGAAAAACACTACCATCTAATTAGTAGCGAGTATCACAATTCAACCATTCCTATAGGAAACAGATTGTGATTGGCTGATATTCAACCAATCAGACACCGCTTACCTGTCAACGCTTTTCTCAAAGACTCCATCATAAAGTACAGCATTTGCCCGAAGTTCATTTGCTTTGTTGCTACTGACAACAGCATCCTCATCAGGTGGTCGTCTTTCTTCATCTTTTCTATCTTTAAGTATGACCATTGATAATTTATCTTTTGATTTATCTAGAAGCTTTTTAGCATCAGCAAGTGAGAGATTCTCTGCTGTACTGTTATTGATCTGTATATAAAGCAAACATAGCACAAGTATTATAACATTTCCACTGACGTATTTGCTCTACTGCAATGCAGTCTGTTGAATACCAAATGTGATAAGAAAATGTCAGATAAGAAAGCTAAAACTCAGCTGCGAGTATCAATAGTGAGCCCCGAACCATAGCTAATATATTAAGAATGTCAAGTACAAAAAATTACATTGAAAAGCAAATGAAATACAGCTAGTGAATCATTGAGTGATAGTGTACAATCAAAGATGTGTTAGATTGAACCATTATTGAATTTTTTGGAGTTAATTACTTATACATGAGCTATTGAAAAATAAGAATTGTACATCACTTTGATGATAACAAACCACAGTCAAGGGAAAGAGGAAGTGTATTTCAGAAATATAAATACCAGTAAATAATTTTATCCTTGTTTATCAAAATTGAGTTTGATTTCATAAGCTATAAGTAACCTACAAGCAGCAGCATGACACTGCAATCAGTAAATATGTGAGTGTCTTTATTGAATTCATCATACATGTATAATCAACACTTCTAATTATTGCTACAACTTTTGAATTGTGCTCTAACGTGTATGAACTCCTGAGCTTGCTCCAGGCAGAACTAAATTAAATGAAATCCCAAATCATCAATTATTTTCCACATGTTTCTGATAATATTCATAATATCAAATAAGGCAATCATTTGGCACAAAACCCTAATCGAAAAGCATCATTTCAAAATGAAATTGTAAACACCTCCATATTGATTTCTGCATTCAGAAAGTTGTTAAGACCTAACACCTGATATTTAAAGTAATATTCTCATCTGGATTACTGCTGATTGGTTATAAAGCTATGAGATTAAAACTCTTTGGAGTGGTTCTCTAATTTTACATTGATAAACATAATTTATTTCATGTAGCTTCTATGTACTTGACTTGTCACAATATATTACTGTAAAATACTTTACTTTCACTTAGAATTTATTTTCGTTCTTTTCACTCAAGGGATAATTCAGTGAAAATAAAATCCAGTGACTATATCATTTTTCCTATATTTTACATTCAACTCGTAAAAATCAGTGAACACCCAAAAAATCTTTTCAGCGAAAATGAATTCCAGCTAAAATAAAGTATTTCACAGTATTAATATAGTACTATTATAAATATATGGTAATAGATAACACAGTAACAGTGTACACTGGATTACAGAGAAGCTTAGTTACATATAAAAAAGAAAAGACAACAAACCACTCAATCTTACAAAGACATGAGTAGAGTGCTGTTAGCACACTTGTAATGAAATGGTTACTTGGCATAGATCCAATATAATTATCCTGTGCAGACTGAAAGCACTGGTCTTCAGGCAAGGTTATGACATTTTTAGACAAATCAATTCAACATTATCAAGTTTTTAGTTGCATGGATGAAGCCAGACACATGTGTATTTCAATTTTCTGAAATAAATATGCCAAGCCTAAAGGAACAGGCAATCTATGACTATTACATCAACATGTGTTTGTCTTCTTATGTAACATACCCCCCCTCCCGTAGTTATACTTCACCGAAAAAAGTAATTAGCATGGCAAAAGTTGTTTTATCTTACACATTGCTTGCTGAAAGCTAAAATGAATAGGAAAACATATCATCAGAAGGCAATGAATGTGTCATTAGGATTTGAAATCAGAAATTAAAATAACTGACATTTTACTTTTACTTTAGTTTTATATGTATTGTACTTTATTACTAACATTTTATTGCTGTCAACCAATGGAAACTATTTCTAAGGATGCAATAAATTCATTATTATATTAGGAGAAGCCAAATTCCATATACAGTATTTTCTCCATTAGAATGCACAACACTGCATATCTACCAAAGTAGCGTATTAAAATATGAATTATTTTGACATACTGTACATTTATATCAAAGCACACATGCTACTAATACAACAGAAACTGATGAAAATTACAAAATATAATTTGATATCATTTTGCAAAGATGATCAGAAGACAATGGCTGCAAGTCACGAAATGAATAGTTTATACACAGAGTATGTAATGAAAACAGTTCTCTATGTTCTCTACATGCATCTGATCAACTCACTGAAATTGTGAGAAAGTAACCATGGTGATTTTTTTTTCACTTTAAAAACTGAATTTAATAAATGTGATTAATAAGATGATCTATTAAAATATGTCATCTTGATCATCATCTCTTCTGATCTATCATTGTCATGACAACACTCACCTTGACTACAACATCTCCTTCTGCGAGTGTGCCATCTTTAGCCGCTATGCCAGTGATTTCTTTGACATAAATTCGGATTCCAAGTTTGATTCCATACTCTTCTTTTTTGTTTTTTGTTAACGTTACTGTTTGTGGTTCAGGAGGTCTTTCCGGCTCCGGAGTTCCAGGGATTGGCATCAGCATCTTTCTTTTCACCACCTGAAGGGTAAATAAAAGACAACATAATATAGAAATAATGATATAGCTACTTCAAGCGGTGTAGCACGTATAGTAGCTGGGAATATATTAGATGTGCTATAAAATAAATACATGATCACTGTCACATGATCCTTTGATCAGCTGGCAACCACGCGTAAACTAACCGCTGTGTTCTCTTACTGATAAAAGGGTCAGAGGGATTATGAAAACACGCAGGAAAACTGAATAGATAAAAAAAATCAATATAAAATTATGTTGATACCCCAATTTATATAGGGGTTAAGCTATTAGAAAGTGAGCAACAACCTCAGGAAATTATGGACACCAACAAACTGATTTAGTAGATAAATAAAAATACTGATATTATTTGCAGAAATGAATCGTATTCTCAATTAACACTCATCGGCCGCAATCAATCAAGGTTTTATCTTTTACAATGACCCCTCTGTGACCTCAAAACACATAAGTTTTCCCTATAATTAATTTGAACCATAAGACTAGATTTCATAAAAGTAGACAATCAAATTAAATGCTTTCATAGTAACAGTATGCGCCTCAAGGAAATGCATGCATTTAACTTACATCAGATTACATATAAAAGTCACATCAAATCATCTGTAGTAATTATATAGATTAAATTAAACAAATACAGGGAAATGACAATACCATAACTTATCATGAGTTCAGATTTACATGAATACACATAGCCTTGGTTTGAATTACAGATGGCATTTTACTCACCAATGTGGCAGTGTCACCGCTGTTTTTAAGTGCACTGACAGCATCGCAATGCTCTACATTTTCCATGGAGCGGTTGTTCACCATAATAACACGATCATTCACTCTGTAATAGACAAAACAAACAATTTAGGGAAATCTAAATATTGTTTCTGAATTCTCAGCCAGCAGCTGTAAGTATTCCTTGTGGTATAAAGATCCCTGCCAATCCATAAGGGATTATCACGATAGAATAATTGGTGTGCTCCCATGATGCACAATTAGAAAACATCTGATCTAAAAGATCAGAAAAATCAATTATCATATCAAATATAAATCTCATTTATCCATTTTGCCACCACACTTTCTTAAACAAATTCTTATACACTTCAATATTTCCGGAGATGAATCAACAGATTGGAGCCAACAGACAAAATTTTCAGTTTTCACTCACAAAAATTGGCTATTTTTGTCCCAATCTGAAGGAAAGTGCAAACTATAAACAAGACTATTTTGTGAATTTTTGATTAAAAGAGGGAACTAGTGGTGAAAAAGTTAAAACTTTGGTGACATAAAAGTCTGTATAATCTGATATTTATCACACTAAATTTGTCATGTATTTCTGTGATAGCATAAAAGTGTCATGGCTGAGACTCTCATCATGTTTGAAATATAGCCCAATGTACACAATATATGCATAAAATATATTCAGTTGTCTGTTTACACATAATTGAATTCTATAGCAGCGGCCCATGAGTCAACTCTATTTTAACTGATCATGTGAACGTACTTTTAATTTTTTACTATACAAACTTTATCAGTATTTTGTCCAAATGAACACTCTACTGTTTATGTTGTTAAACCAACTAACCCATTTTGAAAGAGGTTGTTTTATTTTGGAAACCCAGCCAACATTTTGATCCTATGTCTAGAGCAGTTTTGTTGCTTTTGACTAGTTTTTCTTATCTTCAAGCTCCCCTAACCCTGAGATAACATCTTCCAGCTCCCCTAACCCTGAGATAATAACATCTTTCAGCTCTCCTAACTCTGAGATAACCACATCTTTCAGCTCTCCAAACCCTGAGATAATAATTTCTTTAAGCTCCCCTAACCCTGTGATAAAACCATCCACCAGGCCCCCCAACACACAGATGAATACTATACTCCAGCTCCCCTAACATAGGCATAATACCATCTTTCACATTATGACAATATTGTGCCATTATGCATACACGTACATCTTACATAACACCTTAAAAAACTGCAGAAAAAATTGCCCTGGGCCGTTTAATGGCCCAGGGCAGCATCACACATACACGCACATCATAACGAAGATGGCAGCATCAAACATACACGCACAACATAACAAAGATGGCAGCATCACACATACATGTACATCATAACAAAGATGGCAGCATCACACATACATGTACATCATAACAAAGATGGCAGCATCACACATAAACGCACAACATAACAAAGATGGCAGCATCACACATACACGCACAACATAACAAAGATGGCAGCATCACACATACATGTACTTCATAACAAAAATGGCAGCATCACACATACATGCACATCATAACAAAGACGGCAGCATCACACATACATGCACAACATAACAAAGATGGCAGCATCACACATACATGTACATCATAACAAAGATGGCAGCATCACACAC